TTGCAAAATTCCCATTTTGCAAAGTGGAGAAAATGTCGAAAATGAATAATATATTGCCTTAAATTTATCTTTCGTGGAATGGCAACAAAATGTTTTACTTTCTTTTGAATTTCTTCTTGGCAATTGAATAAAGATGTGAGCCTGTTCTAGCTTTGTTTTTTTTATTTATTTAGTATTTAAAACCTGCAAAGAGGAATTTTATTTTTTAGGGCCATTTCACCACAGTAGTCTTGTTCAAGCCTCATAGATATAATCCTTAAGTCCACTTTGCTAAACATAATGTTTTGAAGTTAGAATCAAATTTGAAAATGTGAAGTCTTTCAGGAGCAGCGTCCTTTTTATTGTGTTAATTCTTTTGAACATATGTGTAAAGTTGAAAATGTTTAGTCTAGAGTCTGTAAATGGGGGGTTGCATTGTCAGTTATGTTTTATGTTGTTGAAATCTAAAAAGAAGTAATATGGCCTTTTTTAAAGGTGGTCTTTCAAGTATTAGTCAGTTGAAAACTATTTTAAGAAAAAGAGGGAAAATCATTTTCCCTTTTATATGATGATGAATTTAAACTTTTTAAATATTTTGTTTTTCTAGTAACATTTATTGTTTTCTGCCATTGCTGATAATTTTTATGCACCCTTGCTTAAAATCTCATGTACTGTCAGGGGTACGAGTACCACAGTTTGGGAACTGCTGCTTTAACTGATTGTAGAGGCATAGCTAGAGCTTTCAGTGCCCGGGGACAACCAAAGATTTTGCGCCCCTCCTGTTTTCTAAAATGCAGTGGAGAACATCAATTTTGTGTCCTCTAGATGCTGCATCTGGGAACAGATGTCTCCCTTAGCTATGCCACTGACTGATTGATGATTGGGGCATTAGAAACAGTAATGAAGACTGGTTTAGCATTTATTTGCAGTATGTCACAGATTATACTAACTGGAAGATTTTTAGGTTCTTTTCCATTGAAGCAATGCCACTTGGTGCTTTTTCTTGCTTCGACATATTTCTTCAGTGTTAGGTGTCATCAGTTTGGCTTGTTTCTTTCCCGACACAATCATGTTCTTTATATCTAATCGTAGCTTTTTAAATGAAATAGATGTTTACAATTTGGGATTTGCGTGGAGATGAATAAGCAGTTGAAAAAATTGTTTCTGAATTCCACACAGAAAGATTGTTTCTGAATTACCACTATGTGAATACAAATGTGACTGGAAGCCAAAATGTTAAATTTCCTGGATTTAAAACCATTCTACAGGCTTCTACCATTTTTTTGATTGATTGATGGTTGAGACATTGCTATTGCAATGGAAGATGTATGATATAAGTTATATTATTAGCATTTTATTCATTTAGCATTTCTCCTCAGATTCCACTAATTGAAAAATTTCATGGCTATAATTATCATTGATAAGTTTGGTAGCTGGCAATAAATTACACCAAGCATCATTTTTAAAAAATATCTGTAGACATGTAGTCCCATGATTTTGCTATGCTCCACACAGCAGATTTTATTTTAAAAGACTTCAGGAATTCTTGGATGGCCCAATTTTAAAAAGTCTGCTTTATACCTGCATTTCAGTATGCACAATATCCCAATAATCATCGGTGGATTGACAGATGTACAGTTTATGAAACAGAGCTGTTATCATTTACTAAAATTTTAATTTTTATAAGATTAATACTAATAAACAGAATCATAAGCTGCATTATATCAGAAGTTTAAGGAAGAGCATAATTTATAATGCTAGCTAAGTTTAATTTCAGTGGCATCTACTTCTTTCTTACTTCTTCCCTGCTACACTAGCAAAAAAGAACTAGTATGTGCAATGTTTCACTTCAAATGAATGTAGGAGTTTGGGTTATTAAAAAAAAAAAAAAAAAAAAAAAAAAAAAAAAAAACTCAGCTAACCAGAGAAAAATTATTTTTTGACACTTTTACTTTTTTCTAAGCATCATAATCTCAGTTTCTACACCATGTAAAAAAATAATAAAATTTAAAAAAAAGTTCTTTTTGAAGTCCAGATAATAGATTATTTTGGTTATTGGTTGTCCAAATTTTGGCCTTTATACCATACTACTTTTACTGCTAAAATATAAATCTGAATATGTAAAATTATGCTGTGCTCGGCATTGTAAGCACTATTTTGGGCTGGAGCTAGTCAATCACGCTGGGCAGAAAATTTTTTTAAAATTCAGTGAAAAATCAAGCAGAAAAGTTTAAGGATGGCAAAATTTTTAGAATTTAGATCTTTCAGACATTGCAGTGGGCGGCAAAATGCCTTGCATCGGTCCTGCCAGTATTGCTTCATATTTTTATTACTTACAAACTATCTATATGTTTATACAGTCAAAAGTCTTTAATCCGGACTCATCGGGACTTCGGTGATTCCGGATTATCGATTTTTTCGGATTATAGATCATTAGTTTAATCTGGTAAGATGGCATGCAGAAATTCTAAAATTAAAAATATGAAACGTTAATTTATAAAATAAAGAACAATTATGATCTAAAGGGTATCAAAATTTAGGAAAAAAAAAAAGCTTAATATTTATTTGTTTACTTTATTAAACATTTCTTTCAATATAAGTTGTTTAAGTTGCTTCGTTTTTTATGTGATAATACATTCTCTTTAATTCCATAAACAGACATAATTTCTTGTTCAGTTACAAAGTTCCGCTGTTCAAGTCCTATAATTGCTGTGTCGAGAATACCGACTAATTTGTCAATCGAAATTTTTTCGTTTTCAATAACCTCTGTCACTTTCTTTGCTATCGGAAGCGAATTATAATAACGAGGCATTTGATTTAAATCATATCAAAGACGGAGTACATCGAGAGGAAATACCACATTTAGTAAGCAATTATAAGCCAAATAAAATAAAAACATCTGCTCTTAAGATAAGGATAGTGTTGACAGATCAACTTCCAATTCATTGCGCTCCGCGGCGTTAAAAATAAACAAAGTTTAGATAAACAAACGTTAAAGTTTATATAAACAAAGGATATGCCTTTATCCATTTTTTGCAGCAATTCCACTTTTTGTTTAATGGACTCCGAAAGATACTTTCGCTTTGTATATCCTTTACATATTAGTAAATATATATCGGAAATTCTATTTCAAATAATCGAAAGTTCAAGCTTACTTTTATAAAATTGCTCTAACAGTCTGCAAAAAATAATAAGCCGGATCCAATTCGAAGATTAAGGAACAAAGCAATCTGCAACATTAACTGAAATAGATAATTAGTTAATTTTAGCTTGGCTTATCCCGTCCGTTTTACATTAAACGCTCATTCGTAAGCGTATTTTGCGCACGCGCACACGCAAATTCGCAGCCGTAAAGGTCTTACGCGCATGCGTCAAAGCGACGCATGCGCAGAAAGTTTGTAGCTTTGAGGTCCGGATTATGGGTGTCCGAATTAACGACTTTTGACTGTATATATTTAGATATGTTGGTAAGTTGCGTAATGAAATAAATATAAGGGTGGAAAATGCTATAACCATATTTATTTAAATGTAATTCCCTTGATTACATAGGCACTTGTCTCACTCCTTCACTAAATGTTGAATTGCCTGTTTGTACAATTCCTTTGATTGTGATCTGAACCAATTGCAAACAGAGTCAATTGTCTTTTGGTTTGACTGGAAGCAAAGACCTCAGAATGCTTTTTCCAGGGGACTAAATATTGTGAGATGGGGAGATGTTCTTACATTGTTCACCCGAATTGTGCCAACATGGCCTGAGCTTCTGCTCACATATGTAGACATGCATTGTCATGCAGGAGCACCACCCCAGAAGTGCAATATTGGCCTAATGCAGTCAGGAAAGTGGGTCTTTTTGACCTGATTGCAATAGCATATGCTTGAGGGTACTGAAGTAATAAGCAGTATTGTTTGTTGCTAATAGGTGGGAAGATCTCAATCAGGTCATTGATGGTTGAAAGGAAAAAAGTCATCATGACTCTGTGCCAATCTGCTTTTTTTTTTTTGGATGGGGGATAGTGTACCATGTTTTCACTGCTGGGTTTTTCTTTTGCTTTCTGGTTGAAAATGATAGCAACATAATTCATCACCTGCCAAAAGCCTAAGCAGAAGATTATCATCCTCTTGGCAACACCAAAAGATGCAATGACAATCCCAGAAGCTCTTCTGATACTCTGTGAGGTTATGTGGCATTCAGTGTGTGCCAAGTTTTCTGAGTTAGTTTTTCTTTGACGACAGTCTGCACTAAACCATAACTGACACCAGCATTATTACTTATGTCCTTAATCTTCTTGTGCCTGTTTTCACAAATTATTTGGTCAACTCCTTAAATTGTCATTTGTGATACAACATGCACTTGGTCATTCATTATCCTGAAATGATTCTCAGCTTTTGTGAAAACCTTTTGCCATTTCTGCACACAGGTCAATGACAGAGTATGTTCTCCATATACTGCAGTCATGCATTGATGCACTTCATGAATATCAGCATTCTTAGCCTTTGGAAATTGAATGACCTCATATTAGTCCTTCTTACTGGCAAACATCACATCTCATATGGGGATAACAGAAACAAAAAAAAAAAAAAAAAAAAAAAAAAAGGGACACTACTAGTATTTAATAATGATACTCCACTTTATACAAGATATAGTTGGATGTCCACAACTCTGGGTGCTCTGTTTTCATTTGATCCACTAATATGTAAATATTTTATTTTTATACAAATTATCTACCTTATTTGAACAATTGCAGCGTCACTCAAATAAAAACACAGCTTAAGTTAAAGGAAGTTCTGAACTGAGAGGTTAAAATTCCTTTGTTGAAATAAAGTTTCTTTAAATATTACTAAAATGTTAATGTACTTAGTTTTACTTTTCTATATATTTCTATTAGTTTAAATGAAATAATTTTGATGTAGAAAAATTTATGTGATTTCAGTTTGGTGTTTTATATATTTCAGTGCTTTTATATATTTCAGTGCTTTTATATATTTCAGTGTTTTATATATTCAGGGTAAAGATTTCATAGATTTAAATTTTAGGTATAGTTGCAGGAAAAGGATATGTAATTTTTCCAAAACAGCCATCATGACAAAACGTAAGAATACTTTTGAAGAGATTCCATTTCTTACCAAAATGCACATTGGTGTAAAAGAAGTAAATCTAGGAGTAAATGCTAAGGAAAATATGAAACATGTATATGGCAAGTATATTTTTTATATTTATATGTAGAGGTAAATATCAATAATAAAAATATTTAAAATGAAATTAATGCAAATAATTGAATAATATCATGGTTTCATGAAAATTACAGATATTGTTGGATTCTTATTAACATTTATCTCTTCTTTTGTTATCTAGCTGCTGGATTACAAAAGTTGTTTTTCAAAAAAAATCTCCATTTTAAATCAAGCTCTTTTTAAATAGAAAACAATTGCATTAACCTCTGGCAGAACATCATATTGAGTTATGTATTAGCACAATTAGAAGTTGCCAAACCTCAACTAAGTGCATAACAGCTACATTGTTTTAACAAACAGTGTTGGCATTTTGCTATGCATTCTTTTTGTTTTATTGCAAGTCCCAATGTTTTTTGTGGACAAACTGTGATTTTTTTAAAAATCTAAATTCAGTTTTAAAATATGCCCTTGTATAATTCTCCTGCAATGAAAAAAAAAAAAAAACTAGGATAACATTTCAGCAGCAATACAGCAGCACTACTTCAAAATAACTAAAGGGTCCAACAAAATTTCCACCTGAACAAACAAACAAACCAAAAAAAAAAAAAAAAAAAAACTTTTAAGTATATGATTGATTTCTAAGATAAATACCTAATTAAAAGATAAAATATTGTGTATCATATTTTTTGCAATTATAAATTATTCTTCTACAAAAGGCGCCAAACTGCACTGAAGTGATTGCATTAATATGTAAGTACCCATATTGATAGAAAAGTAAGGAATAAATCTGACATTTTTTGTACAGTCCTTAAGAGTCCTTAAAAGTCTTTAGGTTTTTTTAGAATCAATTTTTGGTCCTTGAAGGTCCTTAATTTCGTCCAAAATCTAATTTTAATCATCTGAAATTTCGGACCATTTTTAAGACTGCTATTTTAAGTGTAGATTAGCATTTTGGAGGAATTTTATTATTTATTTATTTTTTTTATTTTTTTTTTATTTTTTTTTTTTTTCAATTCACTGACAAATATGGTTATCATTTGAATTTGTTCCTGTTTCTAAAATAAACAAATTGATGGTTGAGTTTATAGGCAAGACGTGAAACATAAGCATTTCAAAAATATTTCTTTTTCCTAATAAAGAGTTCTTAAACAACTTTTCCCTTTTGAGTATATGAATTCTTTTATTAAACAGTTGTAAATTTGGCGATATTAAGATCAATTTCTATACAAAATTATGCAAAATTTTTAATTCGGAAAATCTGTGAATTTTTCGACAATTTTGTTTAGAACATTATTAACAATAAATTTCATTAAAATAACAGTGATATATTGAAATTATATTTAAGAAATAACATTAAAATAAAACTTTTTTATTTTCCCCTGTCATATTATAAAGTGATATTACTTTCCATTTTGGTGACCTATTATTACAATATTTTGGATCTGAAAAATAAACAAGCCAATAAATGCTAAAATGCACAATTTTCAAAACATTTCTCAGCAAAAGCAAAATAACTATGTAATTATTTTAAAAAGTCTTTTTTTATTTTTTCATAGTAAAAGTTTTCCCATGTGTAATTAATTGTCACAGAATATTCAGAATTTTCAAAATGTGCATCAGTTTTCTCTATTAAATTAATTAAAATTTATTTTGTCTGGGAGTCCCTCCCCCACAAATACTTCTGGCTTTTTGCTGTTACAGAATTGGTAGGGGTAATTTTTCTTTCATATTTTAGACATTGTGCCATGGAATGTTTTGAAGGATTTGAAGGCAAGATTTATAGATATACAATTCTAGAAGATTCCAGAGAAATGTGACAATACTTCTAATTTTGGCATGGATACATATCTATAGAGAGAAATTTTTCTTTTAATAAAAAAACTGAAAATGAATTATTTAAGATATTCATCTTATATGTCTTAATGCATGATACACAGGACTGACATTAGCCATTTTCCCACTTGATGCAATCTCTGTGGCTCCTAAATTCTAAAAGTTTTACCATTCCTAGATTTTGTTGCTCTGTGCATCATTTAAGTCTAAAAATTCTGCCACACTGCCTCTGTAATCAGCACTTACCCATATATCATTTCATATTTATTCTCAGTGTTCATATTACTTAAGAAATAAAATTAGCAGCTTCTTATAGGCAGTAACTTCAGGCAATATTGTGAAATTTGCTCCTGTAAACATTTATTTTTAAAGTCTGATCTTTTATTTTCTAAAGTATCCTCTGCCTACAGACTCCATTTGAGATTTATTTTCTGTACACAGGCATAGACTCCAACCTTCAGCAAACCTTGTCAGTAGTCAATGCGCGAACGACATTTTTACAACTTTGAAAATGTGCGTGTAGCGTATGTTGTAATTAACCATTCATTAATTTTAAATTAATAATTAATTGTAATCAAGGAAGCACTTCCGCAGAGAACCCGGTAAATGTAAACATCGCCAACTTTGGCGATAATACTTCAAACCTGGTAACCCAGCCGATTTATCGTATTCGCTTGTTCGAAGTTTGCAACCATTTTTCTTGCGTTCATTTTGTTGAAATATCACTGTCGTTGTTCGCATTTGCAGATTTACATTATTCTTCTCTTATTTATTATTTATTTATTTTTATTTTTATTTTATTTTATTTTATTTTTTTTTTTTTTAAATTTTTAACAACGAATAGATAGAAATATTTTTGTAGATAGAGGCCAGTTCTCGGTTCGGGATGAAAGGAAGAAAATACGGCGGGAGGGTGAATGCTATTGTAACACGGCTGTTCACGTTGTGTGTTCTTAATTATTAACAGCTCTAAGAACCATGAGGTTTCCAACCTCTAAAATAATTTGTTTCCGTAGGCCGCAAAAATATGCATGTGCATTTTAAATAAGCTTTTATTTTTTATTATTGGTTATTGTCATCTAAAATTATGAGAATAAATCAATTTTTATGGCGTAAACTTTAACAAGATAATATATTGTTAATATGCTATTAAATTGAAATAAAAATATTATTGATTATCTAAGATGACAGAATAATACGATGCATCACCATGGTCATCAAAATTAGCAAACCACTGCTGGTGTAAGGAATATATTGTTTTCTGTGTTAATTGGAATTTAAGTCAAATTTTTTTTGTTTCTCACGTTTAACCGGTTAATTTCAATACATTAATACTAATTTATATTTTTAAATGAATTTTTATTTCCGTTATAAATGCTTATATATTGTCTTATGCTTAATATATTCTTTTCCGTGCTAACTTGAATTTAATTCAAATTTATTTTCGTATATCACGTTTAACCGGTTAGTTTTACGTCTACATGCTTATTATCTGTGAATTTTTACTACCATATGCTTGTTTTGTCTGCTAACTTGAATTTACATGCACTAAAAATCACGTTTACAAAATATCACATTTACGGCTCGGCTCATAGTCGATGAACCGCGAGCTTGGCGAGTAAAAATGCAACGGCGCCAACAGGTTCTTTCCCGAAGCGCCAACGGGTTCTCTGCGGATGAAAACCCGTAATCAATTTTATTACATTTAAAATCCATATACATATAAAACTGAATAATTAAAAATGTACCTTGTAAATTATATGCACATTTAATTAGAAATTTTCTTTTAACTCCTCAAGCATTCACTAATAAAAAGTACTTCAAATCACTACTAATCATAGAAAAAATCAGAAGCTATAAATCATATCTTTATTCTGGATATGATTTCTACAGGGAATAAAATTTAAATAACCAAGAATGATACATATAAGTATTAAACAAATATACGCATAATTTATGAATGCAAAGATTTATATGTAGCATGCTTAGCAAGCTTAAGTTTCTGATTTTGAGAATGTTTTTTTATAACACAGTTCTTCATTTGCCTGCATATTTATTTTTTCAATCAAAACTGCTTCAAGAGTTTTAAGACCTAAATTTGGTCGAAATTCCGTCTGATTTTTTTTAACAATAGCAAAAATTCTTTCGCAAGCTGCATTTGAATGAGGTATTATTAAGACAGCAAGCATTACAGAAGGCAATACTTTGTATTTAATACACCCATTCATATTTTTTAATTTGGCAATTTCTCCCCCATGCTATATCAATACGCAAATCTACAATTTCTTTCAAATCATCTACTTGATACATGGAAAATTCAATTTCTACTTGATTAAGACATTTTTCATCAATAATGGATGGAAAAGTATTCATCAAGTAAAGAACAGATGAAAATGAAACTTCAGTTCTCAAGTTAATTTCAGCATGTTTTAGAAGTGGATCACTTAGTGGAAATTTATCAATTATATATGAACACACAATTACAAAAAAAGCTCGCACAGAATTTAAAAAATGATTTCACTTCACTTTCATTAAACTTGGCATTTTTTAAATATAGTCTTGTTTCCGCACCAATCACTAAATTTTAATTTCTTTTTGTTTACTACATTTCTGAAATGGAATAGACATTAGAGTAACATCTTCATTTTCTTTAGAAATTACTGATGGTTTTACGAATCTAACAAATAAATTCATTAAAAAGTTCAAAAAGTTCTCTTCTCAATTTATGTATATAAGGAGCTTGTTGTTGCAAATTAATATTTACTGTTATAAACAAGGGCAAAGTATTTTTCAAAAATAACAAGTAACAATTTGGTGGTCGGTGACTGTAAAATTTTTTAATGTTTTGCAATCTCTTTCCTTCATTCATTCTCACTGTTATCTGGTTTATCTCCAAAAAAATTTATCACAGCATCCCACTGTTCCAAAATCCTTGTTATAGATTCTAAAAGAGACAACCATCTCGTACTGCAATATTTCAAAATTTTATGAGATTTTGCATTCTGTCCCAAAATTTGTTGAGCAACTTTGAAGCTATGCTTCCGTTTCGAACTTTTCTCCAAGTAAAAATATATATCTATTATCAACATTTCAATTTCTGAGCCAATTAATTTTTCAGTAGCTTTTTTTGCAGCTATATGCAAGAGGTGGCACGGACAACCTCGGGTGATTATACTTGGTTGATGCATTT